GCAGAATTTACTTTCTATTCACTCACTTTGTGTGTTAAACAGACAATCTGTTTTGGTATCACCGTTACTACCAAATGTTGCCTTGGCTTACTTAAAACTAATGCCTGCCACACTGCACACCATCTTTCCCTCTGGCCCTCAGCTTCTCTGTGTAAGGGATAATGTGCTCTCCCCAGCTCTGACCTGGCTGACACCGTGCCTTGGTGCCACCATCCAGATGAAACACAAAATCCAGAGAAGAAAATGAGTTCCCTGTGGTGTCACTGTGCCGCCAACCCTTGTTCACTCTGCCTCGTCCTCTCATCTCCCTCCTCCAGCCCACTTTTGGTTTTAGTAAAGCTTTTGGGACAGGGTCTAAAGATCCCAGTGTAGCCCATGGACAAGCGCCAGTTCCAGACCCTGTCCTGTTTTTCCTTAGAAAAAAATTCAGTTGTTACCTGCCCCATCGTCTCAGTCTGGGACAGCTCAGGGTCTTACACTCAACCGCCCACGTGCTCAGCACCGCACGCCCAGCCCAGCCCTGACACGGGCAGACAGACGATCACCCACCGACCCTCACTGGCCACCACGGAGGGTGGGAGAAATTCCCCAAGCCCTGGCAGCGCCGCAAAGAGACTGAGAGAGCAAAGGGACCTCCGGAGGTCTCCAGTCCGGCCTTCTGCCCAGAGCAGGACCAGCATCAGAGCAGGCTTCTCAGGACATGTGCAACCTTCAACGTGGGAATCGCACTGAACACCCCCTCTTCAAAGACCTTTAGCCACAAGCCAGCAGAGAGGGCCGAGTCTTCCCTGCTGGCTCCTGGGCAGGCGTGAACGCTCCATTGGGACGACCTTTCCTCTCTAGGAAGGGATTCCCCCCCCAGTTTGCCTTACCTACAGATTTTGTCCGTGGAATTCCTTTGCGCAGTGAAACATGGGGCTTCTCAGCTCCTGCAAGGACCCCCGAGTGGGCTGCCATGCCCTGGCGCTCGAAGAGGGACTGGAAGAGAAGAAAAGGACATTTCCATTCCGGACATCAGTGAGACTCAGCTGAG